GCGGTGAGTCGCGGGCCAACCCTCAGGGGCTCCTCTTTTGTTTTAAGGGCGCGTCTGCGGGCGCACGCTTCGGGGTTGGGCTCTCCGCGAGGGGCACACAGAGGTGTGCGTGGAGGGCTCGGCGGTCCAGCGTGGGGGGCGGGATGAGTCCCGGCTGGCCTGGGTCGTAGGTATTCCCATTGCGAAGCCTGGGGGTGCGGATCGGGGACCCCCCCGCGGACTCGAACGTTTACATTTGTAAGAAGTGAGTCACAAAAAGGTGCCCAAGGGGAGAAACGCCTGCACCCCGCGCTCTGGGAGGGCGGGTTAACCCTCTCCTTAAAGGGTGGCCCCATGGAGTTCATCCCTCTCTCAGTGTTACTGAGTGTGGAAGGGCGCGCCACGTGCAATGTCTTCACTTGAAGACGTGAACCATGCTTTCTTGGGCACCTGTGCACGCACATTTATGCCTCGGAAGACATCAAAGCTTCCAATTACCCACCTAGTTGTAAAAGTCGACCTCTTAGCAGAATCCAGATGGTAGCGTTGATCCAGTCCCTGCCTCGATGGACATGCGTTGGTGACCCCTTTACCCATCACCCATGAACCTGGAAATCTCTTCTGAGACATAGGCCTCCACGAAGCACAACCTGCACAATTCTGGAGAGGAGCTCCACATTCTACAAGTGGAGAGGGGAGGGTGAAGGCATGCATGGAAGGGTCCCTTAAAGTGTGACCTGTTTAGTTAAAAAAACAAACCCCAAACCTGGACATATTTGCGCCAGCCATTCGATTGTGACTCTTCACTACCTGGAAGGAAGAGGAGAGCAGCCCCGTGGCATTTCACAAGCTGTAATCTTTACAAGAACAACTCAAAGGCCCACCTTTGGGTTAGCAACCAAGGGCTTTAACCACTGCACCACTAGGGCTCTTTGGTTAAATAATAGGTGACTATAAGCTTGTTTATCTCCTGGGGGCTGGGGAGGGGGTTGAGGTTGGCCAGGAGCCCCACCATAACACACACACACACACACACACACACACACATCCTAGGAGTTGTCTTAGTTCTTTCAGTATGGCTGGAGTCAAGACATGCGCTACTCAGCATTCCTCCCTGCAATCTGGGGACAATAGTCGTTTGTCCAGTCTGGGGATTTTGCTTGTTCTCTAATTAATCAGTGCAGGGAGAGAGGTTTAAGTGGGTAGTTGGTGAGATTTTAACTTTGCTGTAATGAAAACCGGTTCAGGGAAGTTTAATCATTAGACCCTAGACGAAGCTGCATTGCCAGTTTGTAAACCCCCCTGGTGGGGCCAGGGAGGCTGCAGCCTCAGGTTTAAGTGATGTATTAATTACTCACCAGACCAGCACTTGTCCTGCTGCAGCCTCTGGAGGTTTTGCCTCTATGAAAAAACAACAAAACTTGCTGCCATCGAGTTGGTTCCGACTCATGTAAGACAGGGTAGAACTGGCCGTGTCAGTTTCCAAGACCCACTCTATGGGAGTAGAGTCTCCTCATTCTCCCTGGGAGAAGCTAGTGGTTTCAAACTGCTGACCTTTGGGCTCATCTAGCTCGGGTCCTCCCTTTATTATTTCTGTCCTTGAAATGTGCTCGCCTCTTACCTGACAGCAGTGCTCCTGCCTCCATTTTCTGTGAGTGCTCCCTCTTCCTTGGCTTCTCCCTCCCAAACCTGTTCACTTGGGCTCCCACCTTACGTAACAACCCCTGCCTTCCCTGGCACCTTCTACTTTGTTCCTTCCTTTGGCATCATGCTTTAGGTTCTTCAAAGGGTCCTCGATAGCAGGTTACCTGCTGCGCCTCCTTCTCACCTTTATTCCATTACAACATGGCTTCCATCCTCATCGTTGTCCGCAGCCTTCCAACTGCCAGATGGGTAGGACACTTCTGCACTGTTACCGGACTGGATTGCTTTGTAACATATGCTTCCGATGGTCCTGCCTTCCCTCTTGAGACTCCCAGGCTTCCAGGACACAAAACCGAAAATCTAACTCACTGCCATCAAGGTGGATGCTGACTCATAGCGACTGTATAGGACAGGGTAGAACTGCCCCTGTGAGTTTCCGAAACTGTAACTCTAGATGCAAGTAGAAAGCTCTGTCTTTCTCCCTTAGACGCTGGTGGTTTTGAACCACTGGCCTTGCGGATCGAAGCCCAATGTGTAAGCACTATGCTACCAGCGCTCCCCATCCAGAACATAATTCCCTCCAAAATGTCTTTTCAGTGGTCCTCCTCTTATCAGGAAATGTTGATGTCTCAAAGGTTCTATTTACAGCTGATTTTTCATCCGAATATTTTCTTTCATGCCATGGCTCTCATCACCACCTTGACTGTGGCAACCCCTTTGCCTGTATCTGCAGTCCATACCTTGTTCCAATTTTATAGAATTTTATGTTAAATGTCTAGCAGTCTATTGAGTATCTCTTCTTTGATGACCACACCCACCCCTTCCACTACCATCAAGTCAATTCTGATTCATGGTGAGCGACCCTTTATAAGATTTCAAGACTAGATCTTTACCTTAACCTACGGCCTCATTTTCATTCTCAGAGCAGCTGGTGGGTTCAAACCACGGACTGACCTTGCGGTTAGCTGCCCAATTCTTATTGCATAGCGCTACGAGGGCTCCTTTGATGACACGTGGGCATAGGCACTTCATGTGTGCATGACGGAACTCAGATTTTTCAACCAACCCTGGTAGAATAAAATGTGCTCCTTTTCCCATTTCTGTTTTCAATTATTGTCACCATGATCCGCCCACTAGCTCAAGGCAGAAACCTGGGAACAGGACCAGCTCTGTGATTTACAGGGCCTAGAGCAAAATGAAAATAGGGGGCTCCTTGTTCCAAAGCAAAGAATTTCAAGATGGGGTCAGCCAAGCATTCAACCAAATATGGGACTTTTTCTAAGTGGGGGCCCTATACAACTGAGCAAGTCTCAGACCAGAAGGCTGAGCCTACCTGAGCCATGCTGGACACATCCCTCCCCTCTATTCGCACACACTCCCCCTTATAATGGACCTCCAGGCCCTGCGATTTCTACTTTTCCAGCAACTGGCCAACACCGACCCCCACACCAACTTCACTGCCGTGCCGTAAGGCAGCCCTCCTCGAGTCTGAACTGAATATCAGCAGGAACGGATTGTCTGCTCTTCCTGCCTCCACCTGATCGCAATCACCAGGAGGATTTTCCAGAGGCATTACCTTGATCATTTCGCTCACCTGTTTAAAATCCTTCAGTGCCTCCCTCTTCCCCCTCACCTGAATGAACTTCCGGAAGTTCCCTGTTCACAACGTACTCATGCTAGGGTGGCTCTCTCTGCCCCCATCAACTCGGGGACCAGCCATGCATCTTTGAAGACTTGGCTCCAACAGGACTTTCTACACTGCACCCTCCTCCAACACCTTGTAAAAGCCTGTTGCATGACATCATGCTGTTATTATTTATGTCCTTATCCTCCCCTGTAGACAGGGAGACAAGGACAAGGACAAGGATGGTGTAATATTTGTTGTTGTTGTTGCTGTTGGGGTTTTTTTGTATGCAAATTGCCAAGCATCACGAAGTACATGGTAGGTGCTCAATAAATGTTTCATGAGTGGAAGT